GTTTATGTATATATATATATATATATATGTATTAATATTATATTAAAAGGAGATAATTACAAAAATATTAAGTCAAGTAACAAGCTAATAAAACGTCATAATAACAAATAAAATAATAATAAATATAGCAGATTATATAATAAAGAAAAGTGAGGAAATGAATAGTTATTCGATGTCCATATAAATCTTTTTCTAATTTCATCAATTTTTTTATTGGGTATGTTTCACTGGATAAAAAAAAAGAAAATTAAAATTTAATTCACGCAGTATGATATAATATGGTCAAACAAAATAAGATCACACAACATGATTTATTTTATCCGCACATCGCACGGGTGCTATACATCTAATAAATTTAAAAAATTGTTCGCATGACGTCATCCTCTCCTTCAACCACGCGCATGCATCTATTAACGCTGCACTTAAACATCAAATCTAGAAGACTTACAAGTCACACCATATAATTAAAGCAGTACAATTATGATACCTACAAATACAAAATTTTCAGAGCCAAATGAAAATTATTAAGTAATCTTCAACAACTCCTGTAACGTTTCTAATCTTAAACAAGTACTGTAACGTTCTCTAATGTTCAACTACTTATGTAACGTAAATCTCTCTGGCATGGGTTTATGATTTGACTTCCTCTCTTTGTCTAAAATATTTTTCTTTGTTTACACATTTGTTTCTGTTGAAAGACATCAAACAATCAGATCTTTTTCCCCTACAAAATATTTGAAATTAGTACTTTAGTAGATTGTTGTCTGCTAGTTAGAAATACTATGTTATAGATTTAACCAAAACACAATTAAATGGTAAAAAACAAACATGAAAATGAAAAAGACTCCTATAGCTTCAAACCATTTGCCTTTATCTCTGAATAATCAAAAATCTGAAATAACTAAATTACGATTTCATATTAAGAAGTTTTCACACAGATCACACGAAAGAAAATTCTCTATTTAGGAAAAGAAAAAATAAAGCATATTACAATAACTGTAGAATCTAGAGGCATTATCTTTACAAATCGCGCGCAAAAGGGATTGCATATTGTATTTACTCATAAATTCTTTTTACAAAATTGTAGTAAAAATAGCAGGGGCTAACCAGTTTTCGGACTGGTAATTCAAAAATGGCCAGCGTTTGCAAAATTAATGAAAAATAGCAACTATTTTGTTGCAACAGGGACCGGTCCAACATAATATACTAGAGATCGGTGCACCTGTTTATGAACTTCCAGCATATTATACTAGAAATCTAACACGCGGAAAGTTCCAGCATAATATACTGGAGATGCACCTGTGTATGAACTTCCAACATATTATGCTGGACCGGTATATTATACTGGAACTCCAGTATATTATGTTGGAGTTCCAGTATACTTATGTTGGAACTCTATTATAATATGCTGGAGTTCCAGTATACTTATGCTGGAACTCCATTATAATATGTTGGAATTCCAGTATACTTATGCTGGAACTCCAGTATATTATGCTGGAGTATTTCCGGATTTTGAACAGTGTTTTCGTTCAGATTTATATTTACATGAAAAGTGACTAAATTTCGATTACTTTTGAAACTGTGACTATTTTTGAATGATCACTTGTAAATCTGGCTATTTTTGAATTTCTCCCAAAATTGTAGCATGACTTATGTATGACTGTGCATTGTAATATTTATTTTTTCTTTTTAGAGGATGAAGTTTGAATAATATTAAATGGGGAGCAGTAATGGAGAGCCCGTCAAAGCATAACTTTTAGTGATGCTTCCTTATTTTGGATGTTTGCTTCTATGAGTGTGAACCAATAGAAAGGATTTAAAAACTAGAATCAGTTCAAAAGTAGATATACTCTTATTAATTACATAGTTTTCATGTTCTACCTATAAAAAGGTAGTATCTATTTGAAATGGTTGAGGACAAGTTAAATTTGAGAGTAAAAAAATGGTGAAGAGGAGCGTTTTAATATTGCTGTTGTCTACATTTTTAGTTCGAAGCATTCATTGTAGGCAATTGGCGGAGAATGGTAAAAAAGACTCTGATTCAAATGGCAGACATAGTCAAAAATATGATGGTTTTCATGGTATACATTCTATAGGAAGATTGTCGGGCCAAAAATACGGTTATGTGCCTATTGGACCTTTTATAGGTGGAGGACCTGTACCAGAATATGGTAATATTCCTGGTGGGACACCATTAACTGGAGGACCTGGACTAGGATATGGTGGTATACCTTTATTAGGAGGACCTGGCACCATTGGCATACCTTATTCTATAGGAGGATTACCTGGTCAAGTATACAATGGTATTCCAATTGGTATTCTTCCTGGTATACCATTGTTAGGAGGAGGACCTGACGCTGTTCCAGGTGTACCTGGTCAAGGATATGATGGTGTTCCTGTCGGATCTGGACCTGGATACGGCGTTGTTCCTGGTATACCCTTGATAGGAGGAGGTGGAGGAATTGGTGGAGGAGTTGGAGGAGGAATTGGTGGAGTAGGAGGTGGTTTTGGAAAGGGAATAAACGGATGGGGAGGCGGCACTGGTGGTGGTGGAGGATTTGGACTGGGTGGAGAAGGTGTAGGTGGAGGATTTGGAGGAGGTGGTGGTGCCGGTGTTGGCGCTTATGTTAACACCAATATGATCAATAGTAAGCATCATTGACATGTAATAATCTTGAAGTGAAACTCAAATTTGGAAATAAAAGATACTCTGTTCTTCTTTAATATGCATGACGTTGTTACTATAATTTGTCTTCCAGCGAACTTCATTTATTTATTTAACCGATTTTAATTTGAACAATTGACTCTAGGTGATAATTCTATGCTTACACATACACAATAGTCAGTATTTTAAGTTTTAACTAACAAACGTTTTAGCAAAATGCAATCTCATACATAGTCAACGTTTTGAAGTTCTAACTACGTAAACGTTATAGCCAGAAGAGCACAAATCCGTGCAGGTAACCAATACTATGCAAAAGACTGAATAATCCAGTAACAAGCATGCCTTGCTACAATACATTAATGTTGTGTAAGAACTTTTTCTAAGTATCCATTACAACAATTACATCTCAACCCCAATCTGGGGATCACTATGGATATATATGAATAAGGTACAACATTTGTATCTCCTAAATCTTACATGTGGAAGAAAAATTGTTCTACAGCGCCCACTCTTCCAAAAACTTTCTCCAAGTGGAAGAATATAAAATCAGCTTGGATATACAGAAACAGAAACTGTTTGTTTGCTAAAGAAAATGATACAACATGGATAAACGTCGACGAAGAAGCCAACAGTTCACCCCAACCATCGAGTTTTCCATTGTAAAAGAACCCATCTACCACTTCACCACCACAACCTGCACTCTAGATTTAGTCAACACTTGGGCAGAGTGCAGCTTGTTAGGCTCATCGCTTTTGATTCATCGCCAGAAGTCAAAGAGTTCATTTGCTGAGGCATGAGTATCACCGCTCAGAGCATACTTATTCCCCTTCTGCACCACACCCATGCAAGAAAGGTTAATGGCCAATTTTTTGTGATCCAAAATGTGGGGGTTGGGGAAGGAGGTAGAACGAGCATGATATTTAACACATCACAACCTCAATTCAGCAGTGTATCAAAATGAGCAGTTAGTATTTGAAAGCTCTAACCAAAGCCTAGATATGCAGCTAGAGGAAGTTGGCTTGTGGTAGGAAGATCTGCCAACAAAACAAACTCGTCCAAGGACTGTTTAACGGTCATTTTGGCAACAAAAAAGTGGTGAGCTTGTGTACATGTTGCTGTGATGGAGTTTATTGTGAAGACTTGGTAGGTTTGCTACCCTAACAAAAAGAGCAGAACAGATCTCAAACATTGTAACTTTCTAACACAAAAACAAAATAATCCTAAGTCCCAACCGACCAACAGCTTAAATTGGTGGTAGATAAAACCAACAAATGAAACGTACCTTTTTCTGTTTTTGAGAATGATAAAGAATGAAACTTCTCAAAGCATTCAAATAATGTAGTAGCAAATTAAAGACATGAAGATTAATGAAATACTCAAAAAAATTATATGCTATGGCATGGAACAAACAGTGGAGAACAGCTCTGTCTGGGCTCATCACAGGCTTACCGAATTTGTAAATATTTAGGCATTTCATAGCCGGTCATGAATCGGAAACAGCGACTCTGTTAACCAGAGCTGAATAAGATTGGAAGGAAAGGAGGGATAGAGAACAGGATAAAACTCTTAGTTTTGATCTAGAAATTGGAAGGAGTACATTTGAATTGCTGAGACTGACATCTTCCATAAACTACAAAGGAGAAACAAGCAATAGAGATTAGGAAGGGTAGAGCGAAATTTGTGAACTAATCTTTGATAGTATATCAACCGAGTGACAAGAGGGTGAAGATAAAGAGATGGACATCGGTTGGAGGTGGTTATGTTACATATTACAGTTAGTGGGTGAAACATTTATCGGGAAAAGATTGTGCTCAATGGTGGTAAGAGAACACTTGGAGGAGCAGATTAAAAACATAAAGGACGCCGAGAGCTTGAAGAGATGGAAATTATGGAGATGGGCTTATTCTATTCTATTTGTATGTTTGGTGCAAAATATCATATCTCAATGTGTAGTTAGCAGAATTTTACTTTTTGGACATTGGTTTGCATCAAATGTACTCTATTTTCTGCAAATAACACCAACTTGGTGTACTTTAGCAAAATTACTCTTGTCTTATTAATAAAATAAAAAAAGAAATTCTCAGATTTTAGAGGGAAAGAATGTGCGAACTAACCTTTTGATGGATCAACATGTACAAAAAAACTGGCTGCAACAATGAGATAGCATAGAATAAGCATCAACCCCTTAAAATAGTTTGATGTTCCTTCCTGCATATTGTAAAGTAACAATTAGAGTTAGTAGCAAGCTTTTCATTGCTGAGTAGTCTATGGTAGAGAGCAGGCTGAACATCATCGTCTACTTTATTCAACTGTCTGATTTGCGTGAGGTGGGGGTGGCGGCAGAAGGATTAGACGACAAACCTGTAGCATAAACGCCACGACTAGCACTGTGATAAAGAGTGTAGCAGTCTCAAACAATTGGAAGTTCAAGTCCATTGGTTTTCCCATGAACCAACCAACAACAACACAAAATGGAATCTGCATTATCAAAAGCATGAGATCTACAAATAAGCAACTTGATTTATACGCTTTATTATAAACTTTGCATAACTACAAACTGACTGCACTAATGTACACCAAACAAACAAACAAACAAACAAACAAACAAACAAATCCAGTATGTTCTCAGGACTGCCTGTATGAATTTAAATTAAAAAATAAAAAATAAAATATTTGTCATCGGATTTTTCCGAACCTAATTCAGATGATTCTTGTATCACATTTTAATGCCTTACCACAAACATTGATATCTGAGTTGATGACCCAATTGCAACTCCAAGTGTAATATCCTGCAAACAATACCCCGTTAGCAACCTATTCTGGAGCAAATGAGATAGTGAATATGGTTTTTCAAGAACTTACAAGCTTATCTTTCATTGCAAACATGATTGCACTTGCATGTTCTGCAGCATTTCCAACAATTGGAAGCAGGATGACACTAATAAAAGACACAGGCATGTTCATTGAGTCAGATGCTCCCTGAAATCAAATTAGCAATACGAACAAATTACGATTAAGAACATACAGAAAATCAAAAATCAACAGAACTTGAACAAATTTTTTAATGCTTCAGATATACGTGTGAAGCTTAAATTTACTAAGTGTAGGTGCCTGTGTATCACTTAATCTAGTGGTGATTGAAGTCAATGGTATAACCATGAAATTGCAAATGATATTGTCAATCGGATATATGGAATTGGGGACATAATACAAGACGAAAGATTGAAATTGATTAACAAATAAAATGGGCAGAAAATTGCTGCCAACAAGATTTCTACCATGAAGTCAAATATATTCCAATATAACGACCAACGGTTAAAAGTTGCAACTCAGCCGGAACCCAAAGTGATTATTTAGGAAAAAGAAAAGATCAGTGCATGAGGCAAGTATCCTCATATAACCTAAACGAAACACCCAAAATCAATACTATTTGCTCTGAAGGGAGCAAGTCACTACACAAGCAAATTCTTCTTGACCAAACGTTGCAGGGAATCCTTAACTAACTCAAAGAATCTTTGCCAAACTTGCTGGCTAATAATACACCCTGTATGAAACATATTTACATATAATCAGGAAGTATATTCATATAATTCATAAATTTCTAAAATCCTTTCTTTTATTAATCAGGTAACCATAAATTTTCGAAGGTCTTATCTTTAAAAGGGATACTAATCACCTTGCAACTTAACTTTCCATTCACCTTTCTCCATAAAGATATGGTGAAACAAATTAAAAAAATATAAAAATCAATAGTTTATGGTGGGGGGTCAGAATATGCTCTTAGTGCATGAAGCCTTAATTACAACATCTTGTGTAACTAACAATTGTTGTGCATTTTGAACCTCATAGTGAACCTTAAACTGTGCCATCACTACATAACACATAGTGGTCATCATTGCGGAGCTCCAACAAGTTCTTCCAAGGCACATGGAAGCGAGGAAAACACACTGCAAAGGCTCCAAAGACCATGCAGAGGGAAAATCAAACAAGGATCATTATGCTGGCAAAGTGTAGTTCATGAAAGCTTCAGTTACTTAAATCATCAAAGCATTGATTAATTACCGCAACAGGAAAAAGTCATACAGGGAAACTACGATAGTCACTATCTCAATGATCTAAAGTCAGCAGGTTGTGTAACTAACAATTGTTGTGCATTTTGAACCTCATAGTGAACCTTAAACTGTGCCATCACTACATAACACATAGTGGTCATCATTGCGGAGCTCCAACAAGTTCTTCCAAGGCACATGGAAGCGAGGAAAACACACTGCAAAGGCTCCAAAGACCATGCAGAGGGAAAATCAAACAAGGATCATTATGCTGGCAAAGTGTAGTTCATGAAAGCTTCAGTTACTTAAATCATCAAAGCATTGATTAATTACCGCAACAGGAAAAAGTCATACAGGGAAACTACGATAGTCACTATCTCAATGATCTAAAGTCAGCAGGTTATCACACAGAATATTAGCAACTAACTTCCGAAAAATGATAGCATTTTCAATACAGCAGTGAAAAAGTGCCTACAGCCAAAAATATTTATAAAATAAAAGAAGAAAAAGAAAGGTCACCTGGATGGCATCAACAAGATACCCAGATAGCACAGATATCCATACTGTCAAAATAGCAAGCCACCCTATAGCTTCCCATTGTGTTATCTCAGGGGCCTCTTCTTCATCAGAATCCTCGGCATTATTTTCTCTATCCTGTTCACATTTAGAGAATAACTAGATCAAACTAATGCATCCTGCAGCAACACAAGATGATATGAAAATCACATATCACAGTACGAGTTCTTGGTACGAGTTTATTTGGAAGAAAAAAACTGAAATTTTGTGCAAACTTAACTCCTCCATAACAGGCCTTTGATTACTAAATAGGAAAACAAAGTTGTCAACAGCTAATGCCGCAGACTACCTTAGAGAAATCGTACAAGCTGAATAATCAGAAATAAATTCCAAGATTTTCAGCAACTTACCTCATTGATAGGACTATATAGATTTTGTTGACTCTTGAGCTGAAAAAATAGGTAACTTGCATATGCTATCAGCATTATGCAACTGCTAAACCTTGAAAGAGCCAGCTCTGACTTCCCAAAATGCACTTCTGTGTGGGTGAAATGAAGTACAGCCGGAAACAATATGCCCATGACTGCCATCAATAACAATCCTGAATTCACGATAGCAGTTGCCTGCAATGTAACGATCATCATTACGATTAGCATATAACATTAGTGAGAGCACATTATAGCTGAGAAAATACGAAATTACAGTGAAGCATCACATTCACAAAAGACAAAAGTGTCAACTTCATTGCACATTTCGTGATGACACGATTGATCAGAAGATAATCACCTTACTAAAAACCTGGACTTTCTGATGATGAACAATCCCGCCACAGAAGAAGGCACATCCAAGCACCAAGAGCATATTTGACAAAATAGAACCCAGCAGGGATTGTTTAACAACCCTCATCATTCCATTATTCAATGCATATAATGAGATTATCATTTCAGTCGCATTGCCAAATGTAGCATTCAGAAGTCCCCCAACTATACATCAGAAAACAGAAAAGGTCATCCCAGTAATCAAAAGAAATGTGCTAGGTCTGAAAACAAATGCACGACTTAAAACACTTCCAGCGAAGGCCATGCAGAAGAGCAGAAGTACACGAACAGTATATAACCATTAAAATAGTCGCAAGGAAATCATATCTAGTGATTCGAGTCAAGGAGGATGAAATCCAACAATTTATTTCAAGGGGTTTCTAGTTCCTCAAGTGATAATATGGAACTCACAATACTTGATTGATTCAATTGTTGCACCTCTCAATTCAACCAATCTTTCCTGATTACCCAATTTCTCGGTAAAAACCAAACCTAAGTCACATTTTCAAGTTACTCTGCGGCGGCATTGACATTCAACTTAAACACTGAGATTCCTTTTTAATGACGGTGGTGTCCAGGCTAGCTTGTGCGCACCTCGACTATTCCACCGAGTATCTACTACCTTCCACTAGCAGAGGTATCAGATAACTTTGTCATCGAGGTTTAGGTAGATGGAAAGAAATCACCCAGTATCTATTTTATTGAGATTAAGCAAGCAATTTGAGAAGCTCAACTTAATTCTCTCAATGATTCATTCAAAAGGAAAAAGTTCAAAACTTATATTTCTCAAAAACAAAAACAAACAACATACAGTAAAACAACCAATAAACAAATGAGTACCTGTAGGCCCAGTAAAAAATGCAAGCTGCCTGTATCAAGAAAATTAAGGAATTCAATGAGCATGTAAAAGAATTTAGTAGCTAAGGAGAAGTAAAATAACTTGAAGAGCATAAACATACTCAGTTGCATAGCCCAAACGCTCAGCTAAGGGTGTAATCCCCACTAAACTGAAGAAAAAGACCCATTCCTGAAATATCAAGATAAATCCCAAAATATAAATAAAGCAAACTAAATTTTAAAAAAATAACTTTAATTGAAAACAAACATGGGATTAATGTAGAATATATGGCAAGTAACCTGCTATAACAAGTTAAATTATACTATAAAAAATTTACGGTAGTGTCAACATATAAATCACTTGTGTTTAATTTCTACTGACGGGCGACTTGAAAATTACTTGCGCAATCAAGTCACTTAAAAGTTAATTGCAGATAATATTTATTGGTAATACAGAATAAATGGTAAGTAACATGCTATAACAGACTGCCAGAGCTAAAAACAAAGATATATGGCAAAAGTTTGAAACTTTATACATGTTTTTTTGTAACATAGTGTAGCAGTATAGCCAGAGGTCCAAAAGGAAGCAAAATATTGATCTTTGCTTTAAGTATAACAATGTAAATACTCCTCATAAAGCTGATCTGATCCATCTTCCTTAAAACTCTCGAAGATGAGTAGAAACTTCTAGGTGAAGCCATATGAGCAGCTGCCTCAAAATGTAGAGTTTCTGCCTTGTTTGTAGCATTATGAGATGAACTAAAAGGGATCTCTTCATCAGATTCAAGGTCTACCTTTTCCCCTATAGATCCCATCTCAATACTTTGTCACTTGAAAATAATGAATCAGCCAATTGAATACACGGATTTGAATGGGAAAACTCAGTAAATTACAGAAATTATAATCGAAATTATGAGAAAAAGGAAACAGAAAAGAAGGCACTATTTGTATATATATATAACATATATATGTAGATATTATACATAGAAAAGTCCGTCCCTGTCCCTGAAACGTGAAGAGGCCGGCGACAGGGAGGAAGACGAAGGTTCTGCGAAGTAGTCTCTGCGTATAATTTTATTTTTAATTTTTATTTTTATAGTAATGGAGCACTAATGATAGTATAATAATTTTTTCCCAATATAAGTAGGATGATAAGATAAGGTAGTGATACAATAAGTTGGATATTTGGGAATTTTTAATTCCTCCAAGTATTTTATGTCATTCTTATTTCCAACTTGAATAAATTTGTCCTTTTATTTTAAAAGTAATACTAGTATAAGGTTTTTTTAAGAAGGAATTCGTAAGATTTTTTGCTTTTTCTCCGTTCTCCCCATCCACTCATTTTCCCTTTACCGTATACACACTTTTTGTTTTGATGTAAATATATTGAATGAAAGTAACTTTTTACCGAAATGGATCAATTCGACCCTTATTTCATGTTGGTAATTTTAAGAGCCCGTTTGGACATACAAATTTTTCCTTTTTTTTCAAAATTTTTTTTGAAAACAATGCTTGGTTATTTTATTCTTACCAATTTTTCTTTTTCACTTGAAAATTCATTTTCAAATTTGAAAAACTGTTTCTCACCGGCTTTTCAATTGAAAATGGGAATTTGCTAGTTTTTAATTTTACAAATTTACCCAATATTTTTAAAATTTATAAAATGATCCCATCAATTTTTCATCTTTGACATATACATCTTTGGCGATTGATGGTGGAATATCAGTCCTAGTTAAGGCTGTATTGTGGTCCGGGCCCAGCCCGGGGCCACGAACCCACATGAACTTTGGGCTAAATGGACTGGCCCGTATGGTCCGGTCCCAAGCGGTCCTAGGAGCCCACTGTGGGCCGGTCCAGCATGGAGAGNATTGGCCAACGGTTGGAAGTTTAAAAACTAGTTGTTGGCCTGCCAATTTAGTCGTTTGGCTTTTTAAAAATAGTCATTTGCCCCTCAAACTTTGTTTTAACCCCAAACTATTTATAATTACATTTTTTCCCTATTCTCAACTATAAATACCCCCTCATTCTTTTATTTTTGCTCACAAAATCATCCATCTCTCTCAATCTCTCTCTAATTTTCTTCTATAATTGCTTACTTTATTATTGCAATTTGTGAAAAATTATGAAGTTGGTGAATTGAAGTATTCAAGTCTTCAACGATATACAATTTTTAAGAAGTTGTTCGTCAATTCGGTAAACTTGTTCCAACTCTTAAGTTTTAATATTATAGTTTTGTTTGTTTTAGTTTGTATAATTATAATTAATATGGCATTTTCTTTGAACATAATGTTTGGTGGTAAGGGAAAATCTAAAATTGGTGAATCTAGTGGCCAAGCTACTATTCCTCCCCCGGCTCCCCGACCTAGACGTGTCACCCGTCCTCCTCCACCTATTATTCTTGATAGTGATAACCCTTGTTTTCAATTTACCGATAGTTAATTTTACCATGATATTGCACCAGGTCAACAATTAAATGATGAATACATGAATACTCTTTATGGTAATCCAACTATCGATGAAAATGATGATTTAGATGAAACGCAACCGGATTTATATGATACACCTACTAGTCCTGTTGTTAACCCAACTGAAAATAATCCAAATGATGTCATGCCTGACCCTCCTGTAGTAACCCCTACTTTTAATAGACAACCTTCTAGATGGTGCGAAACATCTCTTGTTTGCCACATTTTTATTCAACTAAGAGATCAAAATAAAGCTAAGTGTACAACTTGTGGGACTTTGATGGCTCATAAATTTACTGGAGACCTTGTTGTGCTCATTCCATTGGGGGGAGGAAAACTAAGAAAGATATTGCCATATTTTGTTAATGTCGTAATAATAAAAATTATAAGGCATTCCCTTGAATATTTCTTTACAATTTTTTTGTGTTTAAATTTGAATTAGAAAATTTAAGTCACAATTATATAATATAATTTACAAGAAATTACCTTAGATAAAAAAATTCAAAAAAAAAAACGGAACACTTAGGCCCGTGGGCCCGGCCCATTTAGCCCGGGACCATATGGGCTTAGGCCCACAGTGGGCCGGTCCCACACTCCAGGACCGTTAAGCTCGGGATCGTTTGGACCGGACCGCTTGGGCTCGGCCCGTTTAGCCCATTTAGGCCCAGGACCGGACCACAATACAACCTTAGTCCTAGTTGATACTTAAACTCTACCTATTAGGAGTTTGATTATATGGTTATGAGAAATATGTGGCTATGCCTGCTTTTGCACCTTCTCTGTGCGTTAGTAGAATTAGAAAATGTGATATTGATTTTGCATCTTCTGTGTATTGCAGTAAAGCAAAATATGATAATAGTTAAACAATAACATTTTAATTATTTATTTCAAGTAGGATAATCAAATTTGGTGTGGTTTTGATATTTTTTACAAGTTGTGGAGTATAAATTATGTTTCATGGTTTTGAAAATAAGACATCCAAATATGTTGCAAAAATTACAATCAAACACAACTTCATCTTCAATTCAAATTTTAGTGAAATTCCAAATTTGAAAATAAATAAATTGGAATTCATGTCCAAACGCCTACTAAATGTTCTTCTACTTCCATATTCAAACTTTATTCAAAACCTTTTGAACTTCACCTTATTTTTGGGACATAGCTTAGGTTAATCCAGGTGCATGCTCTAACCAACTGGGTTATGAATGGTTGTTGCTCTCTTGTTTCAGTCCAAAACAATTGATCTCTTATTGCAGTACTACATGTAAATTTACTATAAAATTCAAATACAGCTATGAATGGTAATTTTCTGAACGTATAGCTACAAATAGTAATTACAGTATATTACCGCGTAAATTTTCCTATCTCATATTCTTACTTTTATAACCACAAAAAAAGATAAACTGACACAATCTCAAGCTGTTTTTGTCCTCTACATCCCAATTACCTTTGTATTTGCTTTGCCGTTGTGACTTGAGGATGGACAAAATTGATATCTAAAAGCAGCATGAATCATAATTTCCTAACGGTTCATTTTTCTCTTGAATAATCAATTCAAAGAGAGAAAATTGCTCGTTTAAGAAGCAACTTGCCTCATAATTTCCTGTTAATTATGCCATTTCGCCTTTTTTCTTCTTGTAAAATGCATACTGTTGTCCTACTCATTGCCAGTTGCTTGCTCAGTTGCTTGACCATGGAGGTCTGTTCCCTCTATATCATATTTTCTAATGCATCTCGATTTTTCACATTCCAAAAATAAGAGAAGAAAGTAAGGAATAGTTTAACACAAAGTTGGCCTGCAGTTGAGCAAAGAAGAGAAGAAACAGTTCCTGTAACTCCTCAATTCAGCACAAATTTCAACAGCATAGCAACAAGAATCATGCTTCATTTTGCATTAGACTAGGCAATGTGATATGCGTTTAAGAAAGTCACTTCAGTGATAAGGAAAAACCATCACTTGCCATGCTCCACAAAAGCTCAAAATTTCTGAATTTGAGAGGCTTTTAACACAGTACAGTAGCCACAAATTATTGCTAATCAACGGAATCACTTGCCAATTTTCATCCAGCAAGCGTAGGACCAAATTCTAGTCACTATGTTATTAGAAGATCAATAGTTAATGCAAGCTCCAGGAGACATGGTATCAAGGCCATGGCAGTACAAAAAAATTATAGAATATAAGAAACAAAGCCCAAGATCCACCCTTGATCTCATTCTTCGGGAGTATCTGAGCGGATGGCTGTTAAAAAGACCAGCAGAAGTATTTGTTAGAATACCAACAAGAAGAAGATGCAGCTTTTGCCATGAAAATAAGACTCAAATTTAAGCAAATAACAAATGAACACACAGCCAACCTTATCGTCTATGCCCTATTCTTTTTGACTATACAAGGACCAAAATCACACAGAAATCTTGTAGAACATAAACCTAATACTCTGTTCTTTTTCTTTCTTTTTCTTGCGTGGAGAAAGGCAACAGTTACAGGCCGACTTCTTTTTTCACCAACGAAAAAGAAAATAAGTATATTGACAAGGGGATACAGGTAGATTTTGCAAGCGTGGTCCTCATTCTTAATAAATCATTATCTTAAATCCAAAAAATGGTACAACAACGGGATACAAACATGTATCCCCACAATGAGGAAACCAGGAACTTCGCTAACGGTTTTCAATCTTTGATGAAATAAATACAAAAATTTATTTTGTTGAATAGGTGCATTGAAAATTTTAAATCAAACTACGTAGTAATATTTATTTATATTATAAAAACACTTGTGGTAGAGCTAACAATTGTTTAAAACAAAACTAACATGAAGAAGACAATAAAAGAAATTTTACTAGGGAACGCATATCTCAAATATATTATTGCAATTGTACTCGATAAGATTTCATCTTTTAAGATGTTTTTATAATTATAATAGACTCAGAAATAGTTCACAATACTTTTGTTTCTACATAAGGCACTACACGACTCTACATGACTGCCTAAAAATTCATCATCCATTTGATTCCACTAGTCATTCCCGATAAATTTCACCACCGAAAAAGCTCTTTCAACAAATTTAGTGGCAACTGACAGAAGCAAAGCAAGTTTTTACTAAGCGAAAACAAGAGGATAACTAAAACGCTTCCTTGTCACAACTAATTTTCTTGAAAGATCATTAAGTCCATCTAAAATGTAGAACCTTTTATCAATATCACAAACATCAACAATGCAATTAGCAAGATGACTCTCAAGGGCAGCTATGCTAAATTCATCGATCATATAGATATAATTCAACCATTCTCACTATCGTCTTAATGGTCAAGTTAGAAAATGAATATACTGAATTCAAATAAGCTACTCTATGAAACAAATAACTTATCACCTAATTAAATTTCTTCAAATTGCCAATTTTATAGAACACTTCCACAAGATAATGATGCAAAGTAGTATGATCAATAACTTCAGACTGTGATTTTCCAATCAACGTAGAACTCATCAAAATTAGGTATAATAATATCATGCTTGATACGAAATGTGACCTTATAGTTAAGCAAATCCGATCTATTATTTGTTAATGTTTGCAACCTTCCCTTTACTACTTTAACAAGTATCATGACATCTGAATATCTTACTCCATTTGTCA